TGCAACCCCTGATTCCTGGGTTCAAGCGATTCTCCCGCCTCAGCCTCCTGAGTAGCTGGGACTACAGGCGTCCACCACCACTCAGGCTAATTTTTGTATTTTTAGTAGAGATGGGGTTTCACTATGTTGGCCACACTGGTCTCAAACTCCTGACCTCAAGTAATCCACCTGCCTCGGCCTCCTGGAGTGCTGGGATTACAGGCGTGAGCCACTGCAGCCGGCCAGTTTATCTTAAGTAACAAGTTGAGCAGGTTTCCTTCTCTTCCTAGTTGAGGAAGTTCCCTTCTCTTCTTGAGAATTTTTATCGTGAGTGGACGCTGGATTGTGACAAATGCTTTTTCTGCTTTTATTGAGATGATCACATGGCTGTTCTTTCTTAGTTTATCGGTGATGTGAATCACATCAGCTGAATTTAAAACTATTAAAACCGGCCGGGCACGGTGGCTCATGCCTGTAATCACAGCACTTTGGGAGGCCAAGGCCAGCAGATTGCCTGAGCTCAGGGGTTTGAGACCAGCCTGGCCAACATGGTGAAACACCATCTCTCCTAAAAAAATAGAAAAATTAGCTGGGCGTGATGGTGCGTGCCTGTAGTCCCATCTACTCAGGAGGCTGAGGCAGAAGAATCGCTTGAACCTGGGAGGCAGAGGTAGAGGTTGCAGTGAGCCGAGATTGCGCCATTGCACTCCAGCCTGGGCGACAGGGCAAGACTCTGTCTCAAAAAAAAAAAAAAAAAAAAAAATTGCACATCTGTGTCTATAAGGAATATTGGTTTGTAGTTTTATTTCTTTTTCTTGAGACAGAGTCTTGTTCTGTCTCTAGACTTGAGTGCAATGGTGTTATCTCGGCTCACTGCAAACTCTGCCTCCTAGGTTCAAGCAATTCTTTTGCCTCAGCCTCCTGAGTAGCTGGGATTACAGCGCACACCACCACACCTGGCTCATTTTGTATTTTTTTTTTTTTTTTAGACAGAGCCTTGCTGTATTGCCCAGGCTGGAGTGCAGTGGCGTGATCTCAGCTCACTGCAACCTCTGCCTCCTGGGTTCAAGGGATTCTCCTGCCTCAGCCTCCTCAGTAGCCAGGATTACAGGCGCGCGCCACCATATCCAGCTAATTTTTTTGTATTTTTAGTAGAGACGGGGTTTCACCATGTTGGTCAGGCTCGTCTGAAACTCCTGACCTCATGATCTGCCCGCCTCGGCCTCCCAAAGTGCTGGTGTGAGCCACCACGCCCAGTCTAATTTTTGTATTTTTAGTAGAGATGGAGTTTCGCCATGTTGGCCAGGCTGATCTCGAACTCCTGACCTCGTGATCCGCCCACCTTGGCCTTCCAAGGTACTGGAATTACAGGTGTGAGTCACCACGCCCAGCCAGTTTTCTCTTTTTTTTTTTTTTTTTTTTTAAGATGGAGTCTCAGTCTGTTGCCCAGGCTGGCGTGTACTGGTGTGATCTCCGCCCACTACAACTTCCACCTCCCAGGTTCAAGTGATTCTTGTGCCTCAGCCTCCCAAGTAGCTGGGATTACAGGCATGTGCTACCATGCCCAGCTAACTTTTGTATTTTTAGTAGAGACGGGGCTTCATCATGCTGGCCAGGCTGCTCTCGAACACCTGACCTCAAGTTATCCACCCGCCTCAGCCTCACAAAGTGCTGGGATTATAGGCATGAGCCTGTATAGCTTTCTTACAAGGTCTTTGGGTTTGCTATGAGAGTAATGCTCAGAAAATCAGTTGGGAAGTAGTCTCTTCTCTTTAGTTTTTTCAGGAAGAATTTGTGTGTAGTTGGTATTATTTCTTCCTTACATGTTTGGTAGGATTCCTCAGGGAAACCATCTAGGTTCTACGGGAAGGTTTTTTACTGTAAGTTCAATTTCTTTTTAGCTATGGGACTATTTAGGTTATCTCTTTGTGAGTGAGCTTTGATAGCTTGTAGCTTGTGTCTTTTAAGGGATTTGCCTATTTCTTTTCTTTTCTCTTTTTTTTTTTTTTTTTTTTTGAGAAGGGGTCTGTCACCCAGGCTGGAGTGCAGTGGTGCAGTCTTGGCTCACTGCTACCTCTGTTTCCCAGGCTCAAGTGATCCTTCCACCTCAGCCTCCTTAGTAGCTGGGACTGCAGGCGTGTGCCACCACGCCCAGCTAATTTTTGTACTTTTGGTAGAAGTGGGGTTTCGCCATGTTGCCCAGGTAGTCTTGAACTCCTGAGCTCAAGTGATCCACCTGTCTTGGCCTACCAAAGTGCTGGGATTACAGGTATGAGCCACCGCGCCTGGCCATCTACTTCTTTTTTTTTTTTTTTTTTTTAATTTATTATTATTACTATTTTTTGAGACGGACTCTTGCTCGGTGGCCCAGGTTGGAATGCAGTGGTGCTATCTTGGCTCACTGCAACCTCCGCCCCCTGGGTTCAAGCAATTCTCCTGTCTCAGCCTCCCAAGTAGCTGGAACAACAGGCGCACACCACTACGCCCAGCTAATTTTTGTATTTTCAGTAGAGATGGGGTTTCACCATACTGGCCAGGCTGGTCTTGAACTCCTGACCTCAGGTGATCCACATGCTTCGGCCAGCACTTGCTCAGGTGATCCAAGTGCTGGGATTACAGGTACGAGCCACCACGCCTGGCCAATTTTTCTATTTTTAGTAGAGGTGGGGTTTCACTGTGTTGGCCAGGCTGGTCTCGAACTGACCTCAAGTGATCCACCCACCTTGGCCTCCCAAAGTGCTAGGATTACAGGCGTGAGCCAGCCACCTTGCCCAGCCTCTAGTTTCTTCAGGTAGAAGTTGAACTCATTCTTTTTTTCCTGCACATTCTCTGTATACTTTAGTCATTCTTCTTTTCTAAAAAGACATTTAGTGCTGTAAGTTTCCACAAATTTTGATATGTCGTTTCATTTTCATTCACCTCAGCATGCTTTGTAATTTCACTTTTGATTCCTTTTTAGATCCATGCATTATTTCAAAGCATATTAAATAGTTTTGAAACTCTTGGGGATTTCTCAGATACCTTTTTCTTATTGATATATTTAATTCCATTGTGGTTGGAGAACATACTTTGTATGCCTTGAATTCTTTTACACTTTTTTTTTTTTTTAATTTTTTGCCAGAGGGTCTCCCTCCTGTCGCTGAGGCTGGAGCACAGTGGTGTGATCTCTGCGGACTGCAGCATTGACCTCCTGGGCTCAAGTGATCCTCCCGTCTCCGGAGTGGCTGAGATTACAGACATTCACCACCACACCTAGCTAATTTTTGTATTTTTTGTAAAGACAGGGCTTCGCTGTGTTACCCAGGCTGGTTTTGAACTCCTGAGCTCAAGCAATCAACCTGCCTCTCAGCCTCCCAAAGTGCCAAGGTTACAGGTGTGAGCCACTCTGCCTGGCCGAATTTTCTGTTCACTTGTTCTAACAGAGACAGAGGGCTGGGCACGGTGGCTCACACCTGTGATCCCAGCACTTTGGGAGGCTGAGGTGGGTGGATCACCTGAGGTCAGGAGTTTGAGACTAGCCTGGCCAACGTGGTGAAACCCCGTCTCTACTAAAAATACAAAAATCAGCCAGGCGTGGTGGCGCGTGCCTGTAGTCCCAGTTCCTGGGCAGGCTGAGGCAGGAAAATCACTTAAATCCGGGAGGCGGAGGTTGTAGTGAGCCAAGATCCTGCCATTGTACTCCAGCCTGGGTGACAAAAGCGAAACTCCATGTCAAAAAGAAAAGGAGAGAGAGATGTTGAAATTTATACTGGAATTTGGATTTGTCTATTTTTCCTTGCATTTTTATTAGTTTTGGCTTTGTATATTTTGAAGCTGTGTTACCAGGTAAAAGTGTTTAGGATAGTTAATATTTCAGAAATCTAGTTTGTCTAATGTGACTCCAGCTTTCTTGTAACTAATGCCAGCCATGTTTTTCTTTGCCCATCCTTTGGCTTTTAACCTCCTAGTGTTAACGTATTTAATCTTTCCTGTAGTTTCTCAAATATATGATATAGTTTTAATAACTAATGTCTGTGTCTCTGAACTCTTTCGTTTGTGTTATTTCTGGGTCAGTTTGTTTTGGTTGGTTCATCCTCACAATGGGTTGAATTTTCTTGCTTTGCACGCCCGGTAATTTTTTTTTTTTTTTTTTTTTTTTTGAGACAGACTCTCACTCTGTCGCCCAGGCTGGAGTGCAGTGGCGCGATCTCGGCTCACTGCAAGCTCCGTCTCCCAGGTTCTCGCCATTCTCCTGCCTCAGCTTCCCAAGTAGCTGGGACTACAGGTGCCCCCCACCACGCCTGGCTAATTTTTTGTATTTTTAGTAGAGACGGGGTTTCACCGTGTTAGCCAGGATCGTCTGGATCTCCTGACCTCGTGATCCACCCGCCTCGGCCTCGTTAAGTGCTGGGATTACAGGCGTGAGCCACTGCGCCCGGCCCACGCCTGGTAATTTTTGATTGGATGCCAGGCATTGCTTTTGCCTTGGTGGTGCTGGATATTTTTGTGTTCCTGTTAGTATTCATGAGCTTTGTGCTGGGAGTGGCAAAGTTACTTGGGAACAGTTTGATCTTGTCGGGCCTTTCTTTTAGCTTTGTTAGGTGAGACCGGAATGACGTTTAGCCTAGGACTGATTTGGTTGATGACTGAGGTGGAGTCCTGAGCACTCTGCCTGGTGCTCCATGAGTCATGACACTGTCCACTCCAGCTGCTGGGAGCAGGCCCCATTCCTGGCCCTGTGGAAACCCTGGATGTTGCTTCTCCTAATCCCTTTGTGTGGCTCTTTCTGCAGCCTTGGATAGTTTGTTCTCATACAAGGCATTTGTATTAGTTTTCTAATGCTAATGCAATACGTTACCACAAACTTAGTGCCTTAAGCAACACAAATTTATTACCATAAAGTTCTTGGAGTGAGAAGTCTACCAAGGGCCTCACCAGCCCGAACCCAGGCGCCGGGAACTGCTTCCCTTCCTGGTGCCCCTGGGAAGGATTGCTTCTGCTGTCTCAGGTTCCTGGCAGAATTTGGTTCTTTGCATCTGTAGGACGGAAGCCCCTGTTTTCTTGTCAGCTGCCAGCTGAGGGCCATTCACAGCTTCTCCAGGCCACCTGCATTCCTCGTCTCAGAGCCTCCCTCCTGCACCCGCCAAGCCAGCAGCTGTGGGGTGAGTGCTTCTCACACTTCAGATTTCTCCTCCCCGCTCTTCTATCTCCTCTCTTTGAGCCACCCAGGAAAGGTTCTTTGCTTTTAAGGACTCGTGTGATTAGGTTGGTCTCACCCAGGTAATCCGGGATAATCTCCCTGTCTCAGGGCCTGTACCCTTAATCTCATCTACTGAATCCCTTTGCCGTGTAAGGGTTCATACACACAGGTTCTGGGGATGAGGGTGTGGGCAGCTTAGGGGCTATTATTCTGCTGACCAGTAACTTGCTGAGTGCCCAGGGAACCCGCTGCAGGTCTCTAAAGTTCTCTCTGGGCAACGCTTTCTCTGGCACTGGACTGCAGACTCCAGCCACTTTGGTATCGGCCGGCACTACCCGCTCTGTCTCTTCAGCTTAGGTGTTTTGCTGGGCCCTAAGCCTGGGTCCTCTCTCCAGGCAGTGAGCTGGGCTCTTGGGGCTACGCCTCATTTCCTACCTCTTGGCCCTCACTGTCCTTCATTTTCTGATGTCCATTGTCCTGAGAAACAGTGGTTTCTTGTGTTTCGTCCAGTTTTTAGTTGTCCTGTGATTCTCGCCTGGGTCGGGAGCAGACAAGTCCAAGCCCGTGTGCTCATTTGTTTTGTTAGCTCCTGTTTGAGTTGGGCGAACATGGCTGCAGCACTGGAAGGGGTGCTGCACAGTCGTGGACTGGCGTTGGTCCCACCCGTTTCTTCCTGGATGGTGGAGCTGGGCAGTGCTGGCTACCCACAGGGCACAGCCACTGGTCCCAGATCCCAGCCGCTCAGCCCAGCTCCTCCGCCTCCCCAGCTCAGCTCAGGCCTGGGAACTCTGGCTTCTGATACTCCACGTCAGGCATGCCCTTGTCTCTGGGAAGTGTGTGCTGTGGGCACTTCCATGGGTTTTCTGCCCTGCCTGAGAGTCACTGCCCTCCTCAGCTCTTAATACTTCCACAGCTTGGGATCTCCATGGAATATGTTTTTTTTTTTTTTTTGAGACAGAGTCTCACTCTGTTGCCCAGGCTGGAGTGCAGTGGCACGATCTCAGCTCACTGCAACTTCCGCCTCCCGGGTTCAAGTGATTCTTCTGCCTCAACCTCTTGAGTAGCTGGCATTATAAGCACGCGCCACCACACTTAGCTAATTTTTGTATTTTTTTTTTAGTACAGATGGGATTTCACCATGTTGGCCAGGCTGGTCTTGAACTCCTGACCTCAGATGATCCACCCGCCTCAGCCTCCCAAAGTGCTGGGATTACAGTTGTGAACCACTGTGCCTGGCCCTGTTTTTCTTTTCTTTTTTTTGAGGCAGGGCTTGCTCTGTTGCCTAGGCTGGAGTGCCGTGCAGTGGTGCAATCTCAGTTCACTGCAACCTCTGCCTCCCAGGTTCAAGCAATTCTCCCACCTCAGCCTCCTGAGTAGCTGGGATTACAGGCGTGAGCCACCACACTGGCTAATTTTTTTGTATTTTTAGTGGAGATGGTGTTTCACCATGTTTGCCAGGCTGGTTTCGAACTCCTGGCCTCAAGTGATCCACCTGCCTCAGCCTCCCAAAATGCTAGAACTTTTTTTTTTTTTTCTTTTTTTTCCTGAGACAGGGCCTCACTCTGTCGCCCAGGCTGCAGTGCAGTGGTGTGTTCTTGGCTCACTGTAACCTCTGCTTCCCAGGTTCAAGCAATTCTCATGCCTCAGCCTCCTGAGTAGCTGGGCCTAAAGGTGCCCGCCACCACGCCCAGCTAATTTTTGTGTTTTTAGTAGAGACAGGGTTTCATCATATTGACCAAGCTGGTCTTGAACTCCTGACCGCAAACAATCCACCCACCTTGGCCTCCCAAAGTGCTGGATTACAGGCATTAGCGATCGCTCTCGGCCAAGATTTCCATGATTTCTTACTTCATCTCCAGCCCATGTGTGCACAGCACAGGGAGGTGTCCTGGCTGGTCAGGGGTGGGTCATGGCGTCTCTCCTTCATTTTTCTCTGGAGTATGTTAGGAAGGAATGGTGGACAGGAGGTGATCAAGGGAATGAAGGGGCTGGTGGGAGCTCAGAGAACAGAGAATGTGAGTTGTTAGGATGCTGGCTGCCATACTCATGGTGGGCCTGCAGCCCCTCTGATGACCCAGGTCCTCAGAAAGCATGATGCAAGACTTGAGTGTGTGCCTGTGGTAAAGAGGCAGAAGGAACTTGGACACTTGCTGGACTCGATTCTTGGGACCATGGTCGCATGCCGTGGCGCATGGCATGCGGTGTGTGAAAGCGGTGTGGCCGTGCTCAGTTCCTCGGTGTGGAGGAGGATGCTCTAGATGGAGGTGCGTCTACTGCTGCTGGGGCTGATGGTGGCGAGGCGCCTGTGGGCCAGCTGTGGACAAGCCTGTGCAGGCCTGTGAGGCGCTGGCAGGACTGATGGTTGCTCAGGGATGGAGGAGAGTTGGAAACTGTTGAGGATCATGGTGTCTTTTGCCCTCCCTGAATGGCTCAAAGAAAATGTGACAGAGATATTTCCCCCAGAACAAATGCATTTAAATTGTGTGTTTTACACGGAAATGGTAATTGCCTATAAACTCAGATCTCATGGAGGCTTATGAATTAAATCTTGTGATTTTGGTTATTCCAGATTGGAGAAGAGGTTGTCCATGTTCACACTGGGTGAAGGAAGCTGAAACCACAGACATGACTGAGTCCTCCATAAAGAGTGAGTGCATGGGGATTGGGGGTGGCCATGTGTGAGGCCTCTCTTGCCTCTGGGTCAGGGCAGGCCAAGGCTCTTACCAGCTCCAGTGGTGCCTGGAGTTTCCACCCGACACTCGGGAGCCAGAGTGGGTTCTGGGCAGGTTAGGTGATGTGGCAGGTGTAGACCTCCCCCACACGAGCCTTGAGTTTGGGACTCAGAAAAGCATATGGCATTCAGGATGTGATTTGAAGGTTTTGTTTGACTTTTTTTTTTTTAAGACAGGGTCAGCTGGGCATGGTGGCTCACACCTATAATCCCAGCACTTTGGGAGGCCGAGGCGGGCGGATCATCTGAGGTCAGGGGTTCGAGACCAGCCTGACCAACATGGTGAAACCCCATCTCTACTAAAAAAATAAAAAATTAGCCAGGTGTAGTGGCATGTGCCTGTAGTCCTAGCTACTCGGGAGTCTGAGATAGGACAATCGCTTGAACCCAGGAGGTGGAGGTTGCAGTGAGCTGAGATTGTTGCCCCAGTCTGGGCGATGGAGCGAGACTCCATCTCAAAAAAAAAGACAGGGTCTCCCACTATCACCCAGGGTGGAGTGCAGTGGTGCAATCATGGCTCACTGCAGCCTCAAACTCCTGAGCTCAGATGATCCTCCTACCTCAGCCTCCTGAGTAGCTGGGACTACAGGCACATGCCACCACGCCCAGAAGTATTTTTCCTAGAGATGAGATTTTGTCATGTTGCCCAGACTGGTCTTGAACTTCTGGACTCAAGTGATCCACCCGCCTCAGCCTCCCAAAGTGCTGGGATTACAGACATGAGCCACCACGCCCGGCCTGGAGTGACTGCTGAATGAACATGCTTTCTCCAGATGTTCATCAGAAAAAAAAAAAATTAGCAGTCGTCAAAGGCTGTTCAGGCTGCTGTAACAAAATATCTTAGATTGGGTAATTAATGAATAATAGGAATGTATTTCTCACAGTACTGGCAGTTGGGAAGTCCCAGATAAAGGCACTGGCAGATTCAATGTCTGTGAGGGCTGTTCTCTGACTCATAGATGGAGTCTCTTGCTGTGTCATCTCATGACTGGAGGTGCTGAAAGGACTAGGGTGTCCTTCAAGCCTTTGTTTGTTTGTTTGTTTTCTGAGACAGTCTCACTCTGTTGCCCAGGCTAGAGTGCAGTGACCTCCTGGGCTCAAGCCATCCTCCCACCTCAGCCTCCCAAGTAGCTGAGATTACAGGCATGTGCCATCATACCCAGCTAATTTTTTTTTTTTTTTGAGACGGAGTCTGACTCTGTCGCCAAGGCTGGAGTGCAGTGGATCTCGGCTCACTGCAACCTCCACCTCCCGGGTTTAAGTGATTCTCCCTGCCTCAGCCTCCCAAGCAGATAGGATTACAGGTGCCCGCCACCACACCTAATTTTTGTATTTTTAGTAGAGATGGGGTTTCACCAGGTTTGCCAGGCTAGTCTCGAACTCCTGACCTCGGGTGATCCATCCCCCTTGGCCTCCCAAAGTGCTGAGATTACAGGTGTGAGCCACTGCGCCCAGCCCACACCCAGCCTATTTTTTAAAGTTAGTTTTTGTAGAGATGAGGTCTCGCTGTGTTGCTCAGGGTGGTCTTGAACACTTGGCTTCAAATCATCCTCCTGCCTCAGCTTCACGAAGCACTGGGACTACAGCGTGAGCCACTATGCAGGGCCTCAATCTTTTCTTTTGTTTTTCTGAGACTGGGTCTTTTTCTGTCGCTTATGCTGGAGTGTGGTGGTGCTCTCAGCTCATTGCAACCTCTGCCTCCTGTCCTCAAGGGATCCTCCCACCTCAGCCTCCTGAGTAACTGGGACTACAGGTGCATGCCACTACGCTGTACTTTTTGTATTTTTTTCTTTTTTTTTGTAGAGACAGGGTTTCAACGTGTTGGCCAGGCTGGTCTCAAACTCCTGGACTCAAATGATCCACCAGCCTCGGCCTCCCAAAGTGCTGGGATTACCGGCGGGAGCCACTGTGCCTGGCCATCAAGCTTTTTTTTTCCCCCTTGAGATGGAGTCTCTCTCTGTCACCCAGGCTGTAGTGCAGTGGCGTGATCTTGGCTCATGCAGTCTCTGCCTCTGAGGTTCAAGCAATTCTCCTGCCTCAGCCTCCTGAGTAGCTGGGACTATAGGCACCTGCCATCACACCTGGCTAATTTTTATATTTTTAGTAGAGATATGGTTTCACCATGTTGGCCAGACTGGTCTTGAACGCCTGACCTCAGGTGATCCACCCACCTTGTTCTCCCAAAGTGCTGGGATTACAGGCGTGAGCCACTGTGCCCGACCCCATCAAGCGTTTTTATAAGGCACCGATCCCGTCCACGAAGGTGGAGCCCAAAGGCACCACTCTTAATGCCGTCACACGGGGTTAAGTTCCAACAGATAGATTTTGGAGGGACATGGCATTGAGGTTGTAGCAGCATTGCCGTTGTAGTAGGGAGCACAGATTTGCCCAGAGGCTCAGTTCAGCCTGCTCCGAGCGGGAGGGTCCCTGGCCGGCTGAGCCTCTGTACATGAGCATGCAGGCCCCAGTTCGGGTCTGGGGTCTGCTCTGGCTGCCACCACTTCCCCAGCTGAGGCTGTGACTCACTTAAGGCTGACTGTGTGCCGGGCCAGAATGGGTGAAGCTCTGCCCACTTGTCCCTGCTCCCTAGAGGTCTGTCCCAGTGATGAGCCACACCTCAGGGCTCTTTAAGTGCCTCTGTTGGGTGCCATGCCTTGAGCTTGAGGGAGACCGAGAGGCCCGGAATGGCACTGGGGTGTTGATAGGTGAAGGTGGGGTGGTGAGAAGAGTCTGTGAGTACGAGTGGGGCCCGGAAGCTGCCCAGCCAGGGCAGTGCAAAGCAGTGAGAAGGTGAGGTCGAGGGAGGGGGCATGGCCTCACTGCCCTCGGAGGGCAGGCTCCCAGAGCACTTGAGACCCTGCACTTCCACACGTGAATGGCCACAGCCGGAAAAGCAGATGCAGACCTAGTTCAGCACAGGCTGAGTTTGCTTTACTGGCCGAACGTGGCCTTAGGTACAGTCAGATCTCATTGATTTGGATCAGCCTCTTTGGCTAACTACTGGACTTTGGAAATGGAGGGCTGTTTAAAGTCCAGCTTCCTACTCAGGAAGGAATCCCTTCCCAGAGGGGGACTGAGTCATGCCCTGATGCCTGTGTTCCTCTGCCCCAGCAGGTGCCTCCTGGGATGTCCTCATTGGCAGCCTGGGTGTGGTGCTGCTGGAGCAAAAGGGAAGGGACATCCCCAAACCAGCCTGGAAGGTCTTGTTGGTGTGGAGTGGCCGGTTGGCACAAGTCCCTGGGATGCTTGGCCTGCCCTTTCCTGTGTACAGGGAACCACCTGGCCTTGCCTGTAGAGCACTACATTTATTCCATGATTTTCTTGATTCAGCTCTGGTCCATGGGGGCTGAGAGTCATGGGATGAAGGTATATCTTTATTCCTTCATGTACTTCTCACTGCTGGGGTCTTGGACCCTCTGCCCAGCACCTGCCTGTCAAGGGCTATATGTGGGCAATGGGGCCATGGGGAATCCCAGGCTGCCTGGGCACAGACCCTCAGGGAGCCTTCCTGAAGAGTCCGGCTGGTGAGTGAGCCAGTGTCCTCAAGGAAGCTAGGCCATGTGATCAGGACCAGCACAGCCTCATGCCTACCTGTGTGGGAGGGCAGGCTGTGTCCTCTGTGTCGCTCAACCCTGATGTGCTAAATAGTGTGTCCTGGCCAGGCAGCTCCTCGGGCAGCTGGAATGTGAGCCCTGCAGCTCCACAGCCTGTCCCCGCAGTGCACCTGACCCCTGCAGCAGCACAGGCGGAGAGAGGTTATACGAGAGAGAAAGCAGCTGTGCCCTCTCCTGCTTTGTGTCTGTGATCCTCAGAGGCTGCAGGCGTGTCCACTGCAGGAGTGGCAGCTGAGGTGTGATAGGAGAGGGTGCTTGGGTGTGAGCATGCTAACGGGGCTTTGTCACTGCAGAGCTGGCCTCCACCCTGCTGGACGCCATCACCGATAAGGACCCCGTGGTGCAGGAGCAGGTCTGCAGTGCCCTGTGCTCCCTCGGGGAGGTGCGGCCGGTGGAGACGCTCCGTACCTGTGAGGAGTACCTGCGGCAGCACGACAAGGTATTTGTGCTCTTTGGTGGGGATGATGTTGTCAGGGCCGTGGTCGGTTGGGGCTTACTTGGTTTGGGAAGAGACAGTCCAGCCAGTAGCAGTGGGCCGGGTGTTACGCAGGGGTGACCACATGTCTAAGCCCTCCCACGCCTGCCTGTGTCAGGATGGGTAACCTGCGTTGTCTCATCATGTGTGGGGTGTGGCTACATCCCCCTACCACGGCATTGTTCAACCCTGTTCGAGGCTCTTTTACTCACTAAGTGGAGGCCTAATGGCCGGGCTCTGTGCCTAGTGCCTGAGGGACAGACCATGGTCCCTGCTTGAGGGGCAGAAGGTTGTTTCGGAGAGAATCTCATCGACCTAAGGAGCCAGAAACACTGATAAGTGCTCAGAGAGTCCCCAAGGGTCCTGCGCTGCTGGTCTTCCTGCACCCTCAGGGAGGGGCTGCCCAGGAGGGGCCAGGGCCTTCCCTTGCTGTGCTGGAGTGTCCTGTCCTCTCGCACAAACATTGCCCACTCGGGAGAGCTACAAGAGCCTCTTGGGAACTCTCTTCAGCCCCACAGGGATGCCAAATCAGGGACCCGAACCCCAGAACAGACGTGGCCTGGCTGGCTCTCGCCTCCCGGGATTTCGGCCTCGCCTGATCTTGGTTCAGCGGTTCTCTGTCACTGCTGACAGCGTTGGCACTGCATTGTTTGAAACTGTTATGCACTTTCTAGTTTTTCTCTGTGTGTGGTTTGGGCTGTTCTGGGAAGGGGAAGAGGCTTTTGTAGTATCAAAAGGTCATTATTCTTTTTGTTTTATTTAATATTTTGATATGTAAAAAGGGACCTCTGTACAATGTATTTCTTATCAGCTACCATCTCCTGGGGAAAATGACCCAGTTCCATGAAAATATCTGGCCACTGCCATGGCCTGGCGGCACTTCCTGGGGCAGGGTCTCTCCTTTCTTCCTCTGTCAGCTGTCTCAGCTGTTGTTTTTATTTTTAGTTTTATTTATTTATTTATTTATTTATTTATTTATTTATTTATTTATTTTTTGAGACGGAGTCTCGCTCTGTCGCCCAGGCTGGAGTACAGTGGCGTGATCTCGGCTCACTGCAAGCTCCGCCTCCCGGGTTCCCGCCATTCTCCTGCCTCAGCCTCCCGAGTAGCTGGGACTACAGGCGCCCGCCGCCATGCCCAGCTAATTTTTTGTATTTTTTGGTAGAGACCAGGTTTCACTGTGTTAGCCAGGATGGTCTCGATCTTCTGACCTCGTGATCCGCCCACCTTGGCCTCCCAGAGTGGTGGGATTATAGGTGTGAGCCACTGCGCCCAGCCTTTATATTTACTTTTAGTAAACAAATTTGTTTATTCATTCATTATTATTATTATTTTTTTTTTGAGATGGATTCTCAGTCTGTTGCCCAGGCTGGAGTGCAATGACACCATCTTGGTTCACTGCAGCCTCTGCCTCCCGGGTTCCAGCAATTCTCCTATCTCAGCCTCCTGAATAGCTGGGACTACAGGCGTGCGCCACCACACCCGGCTAATTTTGATTTTGATTTTTATTATTTATTGATATATATATTTTGAGACGGAATTTGGCTCTGTTGCCCAGGCTAGAGTGCAGTGGCATGATCTTGGCTTACTACAATCTCCACCTCCTGGGTTCAAGCAATTCTCCTGCCTCAGCCTCCCAAATAGCTAGGATTACAGGTGCCTGCCACTATGCCTGGCTAATTTTTGTGTTTTAGTAGAGATGGGGTTTCACCATGTTGCCCAGGCTGGTCTCGAACTCCTGACCTTAGGTGATCGGCCCACCTTGGCCTCCCAAAGTGATAGGATTACAGGCATGAGCCACCGCGCCCAGCATAATTTTTTTTTTTTTTTTTTTTGAGATTGATTCTAGCTCTTTTGCCCAGGCTAGAGTGTAGTGGTGCAATCTCAGCTCACTGCAAGCTCTGCCTCCTGGGTTCACGCCATTCTTCTGCCTCAGCCTCTCAAGTAGCTGGGACTACAGGCACCCGCCACCACACCCAGCTAATGTTTTGTATTTTTTAGTAGAGACGGGATTTCACCATGTTAGCGAGGATGGTCTCGATCTCCTGACCTTGTGATCCGCCCGCCTTGGCCACCAGAGTGCTGGGATTACAGGTGTGAGCCACCGCACCTGGCTGCCCGACCTAATTTTGTATTTTTAGTAGAGATGCGGTTTCACCATGTTGGTCAGGCTGGTCTTGAACTCCTGACCTCAAGTGATCTGCCTATCTCTGCCTCCTAAAGTGCTGGGATTACAGGCGTGAGCCATCACATCCAGCTATCAGCTATTTGTGTGTGTGTGTGTTTTTTTTTTTTTTTTTTTTTTTTTTTTTTTTTTAGATGGAGTCTTGCTTTGTTGCCCAGGCTGGAGTGCAGTGGCGTGGTCTCGGCTCAATGCAACCTCTGCCTCCCAGGTTCAAGCGATTCTCCTGCCTCAGCCTCCTGAGTAGCTGGGATTGCAGGCACCTGCCATCGCGCCCAGCTAATTGTATTTTTAGTAGAGATGGGGTTTCACTACGTTGGCCAGGCTGGTCTCAAACTCCCAACCTCGTGATCCATCCACCTGGCCCCCCAAAGCTCTGGGATTACAGTCGTGAGCCACCGCACCTGGCCCATTGGCTCTTTTTTAAAAATTTACTTTATTTTTATTTGTTTGAGACAGGGTCTTAATCTGACACCCAGGCTGGAATGCAGTGGTACAATCACAGCTCATTGCAACCTCGACCTTGCGGGCTCAAGTGATCCTCCTGCCTCAGCCTCCTGAGTAGCTGGGCCTATAGGCGTGTGCCACCACACCCAGCCAGCTGTCTTAGCTATTTTTGCCCCTTTGTGTTCCCTGTAGGAGTGCTAGGATTAGCTTGTCAGGAGGTTCATTAGAGTTGCACTTATTCATAGGTTAGTCTGACAGGGCCGCCCTCCTGCTTGGACGGGGTGGTTTTGTTACTGGAAAGGGGTCCTGATCCAGACCCCAAGAACTGGCTATTGGATCTCTCACAAGAAAGGTTTAGAGGCAAATCCACAAAGTGAAAGCAAGTTTATTGAGAAGTAAGGAAACTAAAGAATGGCTACTTGATAGAGAGAGCAGCCATTAGGTCTGCTGGTTGGCTATTTTTTGGTTATTTCTTGATGACACGCTAAGCAAGGGGTGGATTATTCATGTGTTTTCCAGGAAAGTGGCAGGCAGTTTGTGGAATGAAGGTCCCTCCTTTTTAGACCTGACGTTGCTGTGGCGTTTGTAAACTGTCGTGCTGGTGGGAGTGTCTTCCAGCAGCCAATGCATTATAATTAGTGTATAGTGAGCAGTGAGGACGACCAGAGGTCACTGTCGTCACCATCTTGGTTTTGGCAGGTTCTGGTCGGCTTCTTTACTGCATCCTGTTTTATCAGTGGGGTCTTTGTGACCTGTATCTCATGCCGACCCCGAATCATCCTGTGACTGAGAATGCCTGACCTCCTGGGAATGCAGCCCAGTAGGTCTCAGCCTTGTTTACCCAGCCCCTCTTCAGGATGGAGCCGCTCTGGTTCAAACCCTTCTGACAGTGCATCTACCCACTGATGTGGCTGTCCTCTGGGCTTTACATGAGCCTGGTGAACACAGCACATGAGTGCCGGGCATCAAGCCCTTCTCTCTGTGGCTGAAAGGCCCCATTACCTGAGACATGCTGAAATCAGCGTCTAATTGTCAGACAAAATTAGGGCTGACCTTGCTATTTGAGGAAACGGCCAAAGAATACTAAAGGTGGTTAAAAGAGTGTATTAGTCTGTTTTCACACTGCTATAAAGAACTACCTGAGCCTGGGTCATTTATAAAGAAAAGAGGTTTAATTGACCCACAGTTCCATAGGCTGTACAGGAGGCATGGCTGGGGTGGCCTCAGGAAATTTACAGTCGTGGCGGAAGGGCGAGGGGGAAGCAAGCATATCTTTATGTGATGCCAGGAGAGGGCGAGCAGGGGGAGGTGCTACACACTTCCAAACAGCCCGATCTTGTGAGAACTCACTATCCCAAGAGCAGCGAGGGAGAAATCCACCACCGTGATCCAGTCACCTCCCAGCAAGTCCCTACCCCAATACTGGGAATTACGATTCAACATGAGATTTGGGTGGGGACACAGCCAAACCGTATCAAAAAGACTTTGTTATTTTTAGCAGTTTGTAACAAAATGTAAGTCTGCTTTGTAGGGGAGAAAAAGGGTGATGATACCTTTCCTCACCCATCATAAGTGTCATGGCTGACAGTTCCATAACAAAAGACAGATTAACAAGAGAAAAGCATGACAAGCTTATTTCATCCCAGTTTAATGTGACATGGGAGCCTTCACAATGAAGGCCCAGAGACCCAGGGAAGTGATCTGATTTTATGTGTAGGTTCGAAGAAACGGGCAGCTGTGTAGAAGTGGGCTTGGATGGCGGGTGTGAACCATGGAAGCATACTGGGGGCACCAGCAGGGCCCATCTCGAGTTCTCCTGAGCCTCTCTGACCAGCACTCTTTCCTCCAGCTGGGGCAGGACCCCTCTGCAGTGGGGGTCTGAGACCTACAGTCAAACAAGGTTGGCCAGAGAATTTTTTTTCTTGAGACAGTCGTATTCTCTTACCCAGGCTGGAGTGCAGCGGCACAAACGTGGCTCACTGCAGCCATGACCTCCCGAGTTCAAGTCATCATCCCACCTCAGCCTCCCAATTAGCTGGGTCTACAGGTGTGTGCCACCACGCCTGGCTAATTTTTGTGTTTTTAGTAATGATGGGGTTTCACCATGTTGGCCAGGCTGGTCTCAAACTCCTGGACTCAAGCATTTTACCTGCTGTGACCTTCCAAAGTGCTGGGATCACAGGCGTGAGCCACCAGCACCCAGCGAGAATTTCCTTATGGCCAGGTTTTACACAGAATGGTGGAGGAAATTAGAGTGATATTTACAGGTTTTTTTTGTTTGTTTGTTTTTGTTTTTGTTTTTGAGATGGAGTGTCACTCTGTCGCCCAGGCTGGA